TTATCTCACTATCAATTGGACGTAGAAGAGCAGAAAGCAGACTCTTCCTGCCTCATAAATGTTAAAAAAGCAGTTGTGTTTCTAATGTAGGAAGACAGAGTATATTTCCTTTGTTTGAGGTACAAAAAAACCTGTATTTTGGTTTAAATGTTCATGTTTGTACCTCAGGGATTGAGCACGGCCCACGAGCAGTTCAAGGCCACGCTGCCCGAGGCGGACAAAGAGCGGCAGGCGATCCTCGGCATCCACAACGAGATCGCCAAGATCGTGCAGACGTACCACGTCAACATGGCCGGCACTAACCCGTACACCACCATCAACCCTCAGGAGGTCAACGCCAAGTGGGACAAGGTGAGGAAACGTCACCAGCAGGAAAGAACACACTTTGTTTTATTTTCAAGTGAGACAATACAAAAAACATTAGGGACAACACAACAAAACATGATATAACCGACAAAACAATAACAACAAAAATAGTCAAACAGCAACAGTAGCAACGTAGTACTCGTGTGTGAGCACTTATCATGTAATATTTACGCCCACAGTTATGACACTTGACCATTCTTGCTTCATGTACGGTGCAATTGGGGACCAGTCTCTAACAAAGTCATGCAGAGTTCTTCGCAGCACGTTTGGCAGGATTGACATATATTTAAGTGTAAATGGTGGATGTGTGTGTCTCCTCTCAGGTGCGGCAGCTGGTTCCTCAGAGGGACCAGGCTCTGATCGAGGAGCACGCCCGGCAGCAGAACAACGAGCGTCTGCGCAGACAGTTCGCCAACCAGGCCAACGTGATCGGACCCTGGATCCAGACCAAGATGGAGGTCAGTGCAGCACACACACACACACATACACACACACAGATTTTGGCCACTTTATGATGTCATAACGATGTTTTGTCTTGTGTAACCATTAGCCAATCAGCAACCAAGGTAACCCCCCCCCCCCCCCCCTTATCACCTGAATCTCCTCCTAGAGCTCCATTGAGTTCTTTGTAACCAAATGTCTCTCAGAGGGGCGTGGGGAGGGGCTCCTTATTTTCATCTAAAGTAACAGACAGAGAATCAGCACTTTGGAAACAGGGCTGAAACAGAGGGGATTATGGGTAATGCTGCAATGATCTAGTTGGTGTTTCAGCCAATCAGAGACAGGTTCTGTATATATCTGAGACCTGTAATGTATTGATGAAGAACAGTATAATAGGGGACCTTTAAACTTACCAGTCTACGGTCTGTGCAGGAGATCGGGCGCATCTCCATGGAGATGAACGGCACGCTGGAGGATCAGCTGACTCACCTCCGTCAGTACGAGAAGAACATCGTCAACTACAAGCCAAAGATCGACCAGCTGGAGGGAGACCACCAGCTGATCCAGGAGGCGCTCATTTTCGACAACAAGCACACCAACTACACCATGGAGGTACGAAAGAGACCTAAACCACCAAGTGTTGTTAACCTCTTGTGTTTGGAGCTACATTTTATTAAAGAGGCTTCTTGTGGTGTTCCCTCTCCTGTTGTGTGTTCTATAGGTTTTAGTGCATGTAAATGGTCTGCAGAGGCCTGTGTTCCCTGCAGAAGGAGTTTCTCTCCCATGTACGCTAAGGGGCGGGACATCTCTGAGCGGTTGACTTATTACAACAGAGCATGTAACTTTTGATGTTTGTATACATTGTTTTGAAATGAAACAACAACCACGTAACCCACTGAAATACTTCATCTTATAGAGCAAGGCAAGGCAAGTTTATTTATATAGCACTTTTCAACACAAGGCAATTCAAAGTGCTTTACAAAAAATGAAAGACATTAAGAAAATGGCATTTAAAATAAACATTAAAAGAAAAAATGCACTTCATTCTCCAGACTCTGGGTGTTGCTCATGAACACACCGCAATTGGAAGAATATAATAATAATAAGGAGCACCTGAATGCACCACGGGCCTTTTCAGAGCATTTCACTCAGCCAATGTTCAAATGCTCCGTGAATGGTTATGTTTGTGCAAAATGTTCATAGTTTTCCACAAAGAACAGATTTAATGGAGGCAGGACGTTCCTAAAAACCTCAGGAGACTCTTCTGGAGTTACATCCTGAGTTTCTCCTGACACTGCAGTTTTCCATCACATTATTTTTGATGGTTTATGGGAACCATAACCCCCCCCCCCCCCCCCCCGACCGCCTGCCAAGAAGGATTTTTACAGGCCAATAATTCATGTGAATCTTGTTATTGAAATTGCGCACATCAACTGACTCATATTCAGAGTGTGTGTGTATTTAAATGCCACATTGTGTTGGTGTATTTATGCAAATGATATGTTTTATCTCCTTCTGTATTCTGCTAGTCAGCGAGAGGCTGTTATGCATTTAGAAGAAAAGCAGAAACAATAATCCTTCATCATTCTGAATCCCTCGTCGTTTGCGTGAATAGAAATCCAAAAAGGAACAGGGTCACTTTTTAAAATGTATTTGTGTTAATACGTACTAGTCTGTCAAAAGCAGGCCGTGCTGCAGGTACATTTGATCAATGACTGAACTTAGTTGGTACTTTAATACTGTACTAATTTGTTCTCTACTTGAGTATTTCATTTTATGATACTTTAACTTTCACTCTACTACATTTGACTAGACATGTATTCAATATCTGTAGTGGGTTTGCAGATTTGGATTGATAGCACAAAGTATAATCAACACGTAATAGCAATAGCATCCTCTACGGCATACCATCCAACCTCCTCAATAAACTCCAACATATCCAGAACTCTGCTGCCCGCCTCCTCAGCCACACCCGCTCCCGAGACCACATCACTCCCGTCCTCCAGAACCTCCACTGGCTCCCCTTCCGTCAAAGAATCAACTTCGAAGTCCTCCTCAACAATCAGGCCCCCCCCTACCTCACAGACCTGCTGCACCACCACGCCCCTTCCCGCTGCCTCCGCTCATCAGAAGCCAACCTCCTATCCATCCCCACCCGCACCAATCACCGGACCTGGGGGGACAGAGCCTTCTCCGTCGCTGCCCCCTCCCTCTGGAACTCACTCCCCCAACCCATCAGAGACTGCACTGACCTCACCACCTTCAAAACACTCACACAAACTCACCTCTTCAATCTGGCTTTTAATGTGTGATTGTTTTTGTATTATTTGACTTTAACTTTAACTATATATTTATTTGTTGTTCCTTTATTTTATTTTATTTTATTTTCTCTTCAATATATCTGTAAAGCGTCTTTGAGCACTTGTAAAAGCGCTAACAAATTAAATCTATTATACATATGCTATGTAAAAGGTTGCTTTCAATGATAGAAGGAACAATATTAAATGAACATAGCCGGCATTTTATTAAACATTGAACAACACAACAACCCCTCACCCACCCCGATGTCTAGTATCAACTATTTCAACCTACACAAAGTTGAAATAGGAATTAAATGAATAAACAAAACAACAATTCGAGCTCTGAAAATAAACAAAATAATGTATCATTTTAAAACAATTAAAAAAATATATGAACAAAAACCAGTTGACGAAAAATGATGGTCCGTTTTTCATTTCAGTCATGGACACACACACATGCCCACAACTATGGATATAGAAATACACATAACAGACACATGATACATACAACAATATATTAAAACACATGCATTTATTTTTTGAGAGCAGCCGAGCCCAGGAGTTGAACCGGCGACCTCTACAGCGACAGGTCCAGACTCTGGGTGTTTCTCAATGTCGAGGAAGGCTCCTCAAGCATACTACGCCATCGAGTCCCACCGAAGGACTGTTCCAATGTCCAGCATACTTGGAATCCTCCCGAGGCCGGCGTACTTTCGAAATGTCAAGGCTGCACATGTATAGACTCCGCGGTCTTAAAATCCCCACAATGCTTTGCGCACGGACCAATTTCCCCAAATCTTTGGCGGAAATCGCGCTCCATTTAAGGCGGGGCCTCGTGACGCACACCTGTTAGCCTGTTCCACCATTCTTTGTTATCCGAGGCTATGAAGGATTCTTGCCTCGCTTCTGAAGCAAGTGACTCGGAAGACATGTGCTACCAAGCAAGCGTCCTCGACATTGAGAAACACCCCCTGTATTAGGTCAATCAGGAGGTGAACCCGCGACCTTTCAGTTCCCAATCTAAGTCCCTACAGATTCAGACGCCTGTAAACATGCCCCCCCAGATCAATATGTTCTTCACTCCATCTTTGTCCTCCAAACTCATTTTTATAAATGTACAAAACCACATATAGTTCAGTATATATTGAATTAAAGACCCATTGAAAAAAGTAGAACTTAAAAATACAAATAATAAAAACAAGCAAGCAGTGACATGGAAGCTTTCTACATTATTTGTAATGCAGCATCTGGTTCCAACTCTATTTGTGGTGTCTCATTACTTTCAGTGTCATCTTAATTCAGAATCAGAATACCTTTAGTAGTCCCACAGAGGGGACATTTACGTTGTTACAGCAGAAAAAGAGCAAAAGACAGCTTAATGTTATGTAGAAGCATGCAGACAAAAGTGCAAAGTTAAAAAAGTTAAAAGAAAGTTAGAATGGAATAAAATAAAAAGTTACACAATACTCATCCTGTAACAGTTCTGAGGATTTAGCAGCCAGGTATATATTGCACAGTTATTAACAGCATATATATATATAGCACATATAGTGGAGGCGTGTGGCGCAGTGGACTAGTGCGTTGGTGGTCGGTTGACAGGTTCAAACCCCACTGCAGTCAGCATGTCGTTGTGTCCCTGAGACACTTCACCCCAAAGTGCTCCTGTGGGGATTGTCCACAGTATTGAGTATGTAAGTCGCTTTGGATAAAAGCGTCTAACAAGTAACATGTAATGTAATACAGCTCATATTGCATATAGTTGGTTGGTATTCCTCACACTTCCTCTCCCTCTGTGCAGCACATCCGTGTGGGCTGGGAGCAGCTGCTCACCACCATCGCCCGCACCATCAACGAGATCGAGAACCAGGTCTTAACGAGAGACGCTAAAGGCATCAGCCAGGAGCAGCTGAACGAGTACCGAGCCTCCTTCAACCACTTCGACAGGGTTAGTGCTCTCAGAAGGGCTTTTAAAATACTTGTTCTTTCCTTCCTTCACCCCAGGCTGCAGGTGGGGTAAACATCGCGGTGCTGCAAAAGGTTATTGGCCTTTGCAGCAAGAAAGTGAATTATGTTTTTCCCAAAGTGTCAAACGGCTGCTTTAGAGATGCATTTACTCTAGAGCAGCGGTTCCCGACCTTTTTCATCTCAGGGCCCACTTAAGAATCTAAAAACTGCTCGCGGCCCACATTCAACCATAAACAATACGGAGGCTAAATAAAGTTCTAGAGTTGTAGAATGACTTATTTACTATTTTGACGAGTTGTAGCATGACTTAACTATTTTGACGAGTTGTAGAATGACTTATTAACTATTTTGACGAGTTGTAGGATTTTCTGTTTAGTTGCCTCTTAGCAAAATGCTCTCTTGCAGTCAGTGATGCAGTGTAAATGTCTGGGGCTTTTACTGTGAAAGGGTGCTAATGGAGGCAGACAGAATGGCATCCCTAAAGCGAGACTTAAAGGTATTTAAACGTCCTTATTCTCAGCCATTACCTGGTGCAATCAACATTCACTTCATAATGACCAGTGAAGGCCAAACAAGTATTTTATTTCCACTATAGGCAAGGCAAGTTTATTTGTTTAGCACCTTTCAACACAAGCCAATTCAAAGTGCTTTACAAAAATAAAAGACATTAAGAAACATATTATGAAATGGCATTTAAAGAAGATAATAAAACATGAATAACAAAGGTACATGAATTAAAGTGACAGTGCCGTGTGAGATACACACATCTGAAATGTTTAGCTCTGACTCTCAATCATTGCTAACTGTTTAGCAGAAATAGTTTTCACTTTCTTTCTACTTTCTTTGTAACTTATCCTTTAGTTATCTCAAGTGTTTCATGCTAAACGAACCCCCCTTTGGAAAATGTTAATCTGCAACCCAATATTCCGAAAATTCAAAGGATCCTTGCCGTATTTGTGTAGCATATAAAATGTATTTGCTCCCAGACATTCATGTAGCTTGCTAGACCCCATCTGTAACAAAAAAGTCAATGGGTTTGAGTCTGTAGTTTCCATGTCAGGTGGCTCTGAGATGTATCTCCATTGAAGGCTGTTTCAGATCCTCCTGTTTACACCGAGGCTCCGTCCGTCAGCTCCAATTATGGACCAGCTTTGACTCCAACATTACCTCACACATTTTTCCGTCCGTTTGTTAATCAATACCTGAAGACGAGGATCAGAGACAGAGAGCCAAATGTGGATCTGAAGTCTGTTCCACGTTCAATAAGCCCGCCCTCTTATAGGAGGATATGTGGAGCTGCAGAGGCTTTGGAATAATAAAACGTTTGTTGAGACGGTTTGTTGAAACTAATTATGATATATAATAGGATTTTATATAATCAGCAGAATATCTTAAGTAGAGCTGATAGTATTAGTTGGTTGATTGATAAAAGCTTAATTGCCTAATCATAAAATCCAATTGTAATTGATCTCATTCATGAAGAAAAATGAAGTGGAAATTCACTGTAAATGTAATTTTTTTTTTTTTCTTTGATATTAAACTCAATATAATTGGGTTTTTATAAATATCCAGTTAAAAATCAAACAAAACAGATTAAATACATTTATATAAATATAAGAATTTAATAAAAGAAAATAAAATAAAGCAAAAGAAAAAAAAAATTGAGAAAATAATATTCTTTTTAAATTGCGCCATTTTAAAAGGAAATAAATAAAACACAATTAAAAAAATATATATTAAAAAATAAGAATTAAAAGTAAAAATGTGCTCAAACTAAAACATGAATAAATAAAAAAAGATCAGCAGTTTAATCAATAGTTTTAATAATTGTTAATCGTGTTTGTTACCGGTCTATGGTATGTACATACAATGTGTGAGGATATGGTTTAAATTAATGTGATTCTGAACTGTGTTTAATGAGTGATTTTGCATTAATGCTGTTTACACATAAAAGGTATATTTGTGCTTGTTGTGATGATGAGAAGACGCCCCCCCCCCCCACACAGAGTTACTGCCTGGCTGCACATTAACCTCTGCTGCCCCCTGCAGGATCCTAATGGAAATGCACTGTGTTCTCTTTCTATCTCCTGCACGACCCCCCCCCCCCCCCCCCCTCCTCACCTCATTTGACCCCCTGTGCATGATGCACTCCCCCCCACACATCCTCCTCCCCCCCTCACCTTCCTCCCCCCTGTATGTGTCGCTGCATGGCCCCCACGGCGCCGCCTCACCCCCCAGGATCACTCGGGCACTTTGGGTGCGGAGGAGTTCAAGGCCTGCCTGATCAGCCTGGGCTTCGATATCGCCAACGATGCACAGGTACTCAACGAAGGGTTAATGTGTTTTCTTTTGTACCTCTTCCCCACTCTCTTCATTCCACCTTTCACTTCCTTTATTCCACCTTTCACTTCCTTTATTCCACCTTTCACTTCCTTCATTCCACCTTTCACTTCCTTTATTCCACCTTACACTTCCTTTATTCCACCTTTCACTGCCTCTTACACTTCCTTTATTCCACCTTTCACTGCCTCTTACACTTCCTTTATTCCACCTTTCACTGCCTCCTACACTTCCTTCATTCCATCTTTCACTGCCTCCTACACTTCCTTCATTCCATCTTTCACTGCCTCCTACACTTCCTTCATTCCATCTTTCACTGCCTCCTACACTTCCTTCATTCCACCTTTCACTGCCTCTTACACTTCCTTTATTCCACCTTTCACTGCCTCCTACACTTCCTTCATTCCATCTTTCACTGCCTCCTACACTTCCTTTTTCCCAACATTTTCCTACCGATTTCCTCCTTAATTCTACTCTGCCGGTGATTTCCTTTTTCCCACATTCCCTCCTTTTTTCTGGCCTGTCTTCATCCTTCCTCCTCCTGGTTTCCTACTGCCTCTTAAACTTTTTTAACTTCCACTTTTACTGACTTCCCCTGCCTCTCTCCATCCTTCCGTCGCTATCTTCTTATTTATTCCACCTTTTACCTTACTTAAACCTCCTTTTTCCCACTACCGATTTTCCTCCTTAATTCTACTCTGGTGATTTCCTTCCACTTTCCTTCCTCCTCCTCTTCCTCCTCCTGGTTTCCTCCCTTTGTCCGACCTTGTAGAAGAGATCAGGATTCATGGATGCTGAAGACTTCAAAACCTGCCTTATCTCCATTGGTTACAACCTGGTAAAGCCATGAGCCCATTCAAGTATGACCGTTTGTCTGTGTGTTTAACCAGGACACAGGAAAAGTTGTAAGCCTTATTTTATAGATTGTATAAATAAATGTATATCTTAATTTCGATTCATAGAGATATTCCACACATAAAGGAATAGTTTGCATGTTTTAAAGTGAGGGTTCATTGTATTTACTATTTCACATTTTTGCATGTAATGTAGGTACATTTATTCCAGTATTGTTTCAGTATTATAAATAATCTGGAAACACACTTTTATTTGGTACAAATTCAAGCCAACCTGAAATTAATTAATTCTATGTATTTACGAGTTATATCTGCATGCAGTGTACCTGCCGTGTGTGTGTGTGTGTGTGTGTGTGTGTGTGTGTGTGTGTGTGTGTGTGTGTGTGTGTGTGTGTGTGTGTGTGTGTGTGTGTGTGTGTGTGTGTGTGTGTGTGTGTGTGTGTGTGTGTGTGTGTGTGTGTGTGTGTGTGTGTGTGTGTGTGTGTGTGTGTGTGTGTGTGTGTGTGTGTGTGTGTGTGTGTGTGTGTGTGTGTGTGTGTGTGTGTGTGTGTGTGTGTGTGTGTGGGTGTGTGTGTGTGTGTGTGTGTGTGTGTGTGTGTGTGTGTGTGTGTGTGTGTGTGTGTGTGTGTGTGTGTGTGTGTGTGTGTGTGTGTGTGTGTGTGTGTGTTGCACCTGAGCCTCACCGTCCCTCCGTGTTGCCTTCAGGGTGAGAACGAGTTTTCCCGCATCATGAGCATCGTGGATCCCAACAGGATGGGCATCGTCACGTTCCAGGGGTTCATCGACTTCATGTCCCGAGAGACGGCGGACACGGACACCGCCGACCAGGTCGTCGCCTCCTTCAAGGTCCTGGCCGGGGACAAGGTAAACACCGTGTAGAAGCATTCATTCTTGGTAAAACTACTATGGATGTACTTATCTCTTCTTAAGTTTTCACTTTTAGAGTTTTATTGTTAAGAAGATGAAAGACAAAAATAAATAGTGTTGGGAAAATACTGAATGTGCTCTTCCAATATCAGAGTCACATGGTAACAAAGGTATCCCAACTGTAGCTGTGAACATGACAGGATGTCTGATTACCTAGAAGAGCATCAGGACTGTTTGAGGCAGATGATAGCTATGTGATTAACATGATGATTCAGCCTCTATGGAGAGAGACATCAAGCATGCTCATTTCTGACGTGGAGCTAATCTGAAGTAAACATTGAATACTGCTTTCTGTTCCTCCATCTTGTGACGGTGTAACTCCCTCTCTTGATATCAGCATGTGAAGGACACTGTTCAGGAACTAGTTGATGCTCTGTATGTGATGTCTACTTCCATTCTTAAATACATGGATCCTGATTATTGAAGCTCAAGCCGGTGACCAGTGACATTTTTCAAACAAATAGGCTTACATATTAAAATATCCCCACTTCATCACCATCTGGTACTTCTGAATGTAGACTGTAATGGTAGCTAAAAGCTATTTTTCTATGATAAAAATGTCCTTTATTTTCCCTCCTCCACAGAACTACATTTTACCGGACGAGCTGCGCCGCGAGCTTCCTCCGGACCAGGCGGATTACTGCATCGCCCGCATGGCTCCGTACTCCGGGCCGGACGGGGTCCCCGGGGCCCTCGACTACATGTCCTTCTCCACGGCTCTGTACGGAGAGAGCGACCTCTGAACTCTGACTTCCTGCTTCATCACCGCCACGTCCTCCTCCTCCTTCAGCACCAACCTCCTGTCCTCCTGCCATCATTTTTGTATCTAGACAAAAAGCACCAGACTCCATTGATAGGTCATTTTACCTGACCAGTGTATGGGAGTTCCTGGTCCACTGCTGCATGGATCAGTTAGTTTGTGTTGTTGTGTGACTTCTGAGTTTTAAAAGGTTAGTTCAGAGTCCCCGAAATCACACAATAACACAGACTAACTGACTGGACCAGCAACTCCTGAGTCTGTGAGGTAATATTTCAGTTGTTCTAATGGAGTCTGGTGGGTTTGGAGAGAGTGATATAACTTCATTTCCTGTCAGATAGGCCGCCTAACAGCGAGGTGAAGGTGTACGCTATATTAAGAATATTTTCATGGCTTTACCTTGCTGTCAGACGGTCCTTTCTGTAGTGTATCGCTCTTTCCAAATACGGCATGACCGCTTAACTCTGACCTGACTTCCTGCTTCATCACCGCCACCAAACTCCTCTCCTCCTGCGATCCGTTTTGTACGTCTCTGGCCTTATCTTTAACCTCCTCTTTCCCCTCCCCCTCCTCCTCTTCCTCACTGTCTCCGTTGTATTTGCTTCCCACGCAATGCAGCAGCTCTCCAGGTTTACAAAGAGGGAGAGCGGTAAAAAAAAAAGTTTGTTATTTTTCTGTTTTTATTTTTCTCGTTGTCGTTGTTTTTCTTCATAAAATGAATAAAGTTAACATATTTTATTATACTGAACAAACAAAAAAAAGAAAGGTATTTTTCTTCACCCGATTGAAAATAAGAGACAAAAATTGTAATAAAAGAAAAATTGCTAAACTTTGTCTCCTTTTTCTCTTTTTGTTGCATGGATTTACTGATGGTTTGTGCTTTTAGCTGACTTTTGGGAAAGTAAATATGGAATGCCGTTTAAGCCAAAATTAAATAAATACATATATATATATATGCCTATGAAATAAATAAATACGTTTATGAAATACATTCTGAAATAAATAAATAAGGCAATAAATATATATAAATGTACATTTAAATACACATTTATTTATTTCAGGGGACTTGTTTTCATAATGCCACATTACATTTCAATTTCTTATATTCAAATGAGCGGGGCGTGGCTAGCTCACAGATCCAGACCAAAGCAACAGCACCACAACACGCGGTGTTGCCAACTTGGGGACTTTCTTTTTATACTGAAACTGGCACTACTGTTCAAAAAGAAATAACAAACCTGGAATTATGCATTTGGGACTTTTTTTTGCTTTTTCTTGTTGTACCAAACCAGTAGCATGGTGTGGGGAAAAAATTAGGGGAAGCCAATAATACGTCCTTTCTTTTGGGTCGGGGGTGTGGTGGTCAATATAATAACGTAACCAGATGAGTGATTACAGCACCCGGTATCATTTTACACACATTTGTATCATACAGATGCAGGACTTACACACGCCTGTTATCTAACCGACAGGTCCGCACGCACTCTCCAGCCCAAACTCTAATAAGCATTCATTCACAAACTAAATCAGGAGACCTTTAACGTTTTACGTCCGATTCGCTCCTTTGTTCCTCGCTGTACACAGCTCCAGTTTGGGCATTGGCCTGTCATCAGATTGTATTTGTTGTTGCTGCTGTAGCGGAAGTTTAGTACAATTATTTTTGATGAAATCCTCCAAATCTCGACCCTCCATAATTGCAATTGCTTCAGTTGCTTGTTACTTTCTAACGGCGGTGAGAGTGGTGCAGTGACGCTATCTATCTTCTATCGATTAGATTTATGATTCGAACATTATAAAAGTAGGTTAGACATGTGGATATTATCCGACTGAACAAAACGTGCATTTATCTAACAGGTTCGTTTTCCACTGACCTTATTTCGAGCTATTTTCCAAATTCCTATGGAGAAATCCCATTGCTTTTTTGTCGAGGGAAACCGAGCGCAGCTTACTTCCGGGTTTTAGGATGCGTCACTGCAACACTAAATTGATGCGATTTGATTGGATTGTGAGGCAAGGGAAGCCAGCCGCCTCGGTCTTCCCTTGGCATGGCCCTGACTAATCACAGGTTGGCAGGGGCATCACGTGAGCCTTGGCTGATTGGTCAATCCCTCCATTTTTTTTCACCAAGGGAAGCCAATTTCGGCTGGCCTCCTCTCGCAACAGAGAGTGCAATCTACTGTTTCACCATAACATGTAGAGGGGCGCTGTTTCACTATTTGTAAAATACTCAATGAGAATGGGGGAGAGACGGGCCGGCAGCAACACACAGCACAGAAAAATTACCGAAACCAAACGAAGTGTTTTTATTTATTTATTAAAATTATAACTACAATCCGAAAAAACAGGGGAAGCCTGGCTTCCCTTGGCCTCCAGGAGAAAACGCCACTGTAACTTATATATAAATATATATATCAAATAATGTATTATATTACATTATTGCCTCTGCATTGGATTATTATACTACGTCTGAAAGCAGAAGTCTAGGGCAAATAATTGCAAGTCTTTTGGGACATTTAAAAAAAAGTCAAATTCTAAGAAAAAAAGTCTAATTTGAGATGCATTGTGGGACATGTTGTTTATGGGCAACGTGCTTCTGTAAATCATCATGTCACCGTATAATAAACATATTATATTCTTTGTAAGCTCTTGTGGGGCCACAGAAAATGAAGTCACGGGCCGGATTTGGCCCCCGGGCCTTGAGTTTAACTGACACCCCTGCTTTAAGCAATGTAAATATCTTTCGGTTCCCCGTCTAAAAGCTCAAGAATAGGAGGATTTTCTCGTACCGTAAACTAACAACTTTATTTTTCAGTTTTTCACAAATACAGTATGTCCAACATTTATGACAACAAGTTGCAAACGAACACATTTCCACATAGGTCACTTGGATTTGAGGGTCCGAGGCGTTTTGGTTCCGCCCTGTAACATGCACACCGATACACACCATGGATGTATAATAAGATGCACACCCGTACCCGGACTGATTAAGAGGAAACACCTGAGGGCGGGATGTTGTAGCAGTGGCCGCAGAATAAATATATTAATTTAACAGTTTGGTTAAACCACTAAGTCCGACAACGCCACCCCGGGAATTTCACCCAGGGAAATGTGACAAGTTCTAAGTCACTAGGACACACAGGTTCGGTTACTCATGGAACAAGAGACGTGGTCCAATTATCAAAAATAGAACAGTTTATTTGTATACAATAGTAAAAATACAATTTATAAAAACATTGACTCATTGACTCTTTTAATCTTACACAGTCGGTTAATGGCCCGACACATGAGAAGGGACACACACTGGACCTTGTGTTGTCTCATGGTTTAGATCAGGGGTAGGCAAGTAAGTTTGGCCGTGGGCCAATTTTTTGCTGAGCCGCAAGATGGCGGGCCAGAACATAATCAAAGCCTAATTCAAGGAATTTATTTTGGTAAGAGGGCGCAGCGCCCCTGTTCCCCGGTTCAGAAAAAACTCTATCGCTGATAAGCCTCCCCATCAACACTCTGATGCGCAGTCAGATCCGCTGATTGGTTCACTGATGATATAGGCGCCCAATCCAGAGCCTCTGGCTAGACCCGCCCAAAGGGAGGCTCGTCCTCTCTAGCCCCATTTCAGTCCCAAAGCCAGGGCTATTATCTGTATTTTAACAGACTTATCTTTTAAATTGAGGTGTATTTATTGTTCTCTTCAAAGTTTATTTTTCTCTGAAATTGTAGGGAGGATGGTCCTCCCTTTCCTCAATGGACGAGCCTCCACTGAGTAAAGTAACTAGCAGTGTTATTTAACATACTTTTATTCTGATAAGTATTGTCAAGTTCTCTGGGTTTTTGGCATTTATTTGAGTGTTTGCCCACATTTGAGAGGCTTGAGGGACAACTGGAATCCTTTTTCCTTTTCTTTATTTCAACTTTTCAAGGACACATTAGGATTCTTTCAGGTTGAAAACCTTTAAAAAATACCAAAGGACAAAATAAATCAATTACAGCAGTTTTGCTTTGCAATTTCATATATTATAGCCTAAATTAATCAGTAACCAAGTATTTTACTCAAACTCAATGTATTTAATAGTTAAATAAGTACTTTAATTGACCTGGTTCCCCCCAACCACACATTTGACATATGTGACCCGCTCTATCGAAATCAGTCGAAAGTCGCAACGGCTCATTTCAAAATAAACGTGGATTTGCGTAAAAAACTAGTTTTTCGGGGTTCGGGTTGATTTTAAAGAAACAAAATCTTGGCTTTCAGAATATGACATTTTTATTTCCAAAATCACACGATAAATACATGTTTGAAGCTTGTAAAGGGAAGATGACAGCTCTCCCTCCACTCTGCTCTTCCACAGCGCCGCTTCCCCTCCCTCCGCTGACATTATGAATGTAAGCGGATATGTCGGGACAGAATTTATTTTACCGGACACATTTGAAACTTACTGGTCATGTTTCAATAATAATAATAAGAATTGTGTAGCAGAGTTTCCGTTAGCAGGTAATCACCGGACTAGGACCGGATATGCTGATGTTTAAAACTCAGTTAATGGGGCTCATCTTTATATTGCTTCAGTTTATAATCGTTACAGATCAAAACATTCAGATTCATTTTTCAATAAATGATTCCACAAACAACAAACAACATAATTATTACATTCAAACAAACTACTTGTAGTAGATGAAGTACATTATTCAAAAGTTTACATTAACTTTGAATAATAACACGGGAGAAACGGAGCCTCTCTTTTCCCCCCTCCCTCTCTCTCCTGACAGCCCGTCAGTTTCTCATGCAGCTCGCTAAACAGTGGGCGGGGCTTCAGGTGATCATGCAGAGCTGCGTGTCTCCATCAGACTCAGCAGCTGATCTGATCTCTCTCTCGGGTCCGGTTACACTTCACTCGCGTTTATGTCCATATCGATCAGATCCAGCTCTCCTGATCGGCCTTTATAGAGAGCACCGATCAAACTATTAAGAGTGAATATCGGCCGATAATGACCGGCGGCCGATCGATCAGCGGCTAACGGAAACCCTGATGTGCGACTGTCGGTCCTATGTTGTAAAAAATAAAAATAAAAAATAAAAATAAAAAAGATATTTTATTTTTGATTCTCAAAATTATGGGCCAAATATTATTGCTGGCGGGCCAACAATGGCCCGCGGGCCGCCTGTTGCCGACCCATGGTTTAGATGTTTGTATCAGGGACATTTGTGACACTGGTATTTCGGACCATTTGCCTGTGTTATTTACTATGATGCTGCCTTGCTCTCAAGTTGACTCGTGCGTTCCGGAGCGCCGCCTACGTGCGCTGAATCCTCTGACAGCGTCACAGTTTTCCGTTGCCTTTAATGACTCTGTGCTTTCCACGTTAAATTACTCGTGTGATGCCAGTGCTGAGGAGATTCTCAGCCTTTTTAATTCTACTTGCACGGATATTCTGGACCTGATCGCTCCATTCACGGCCAGACACCCTAAACCTGTGACTGAACCGTGGTTAACTGACCCGCGCCCTGAGACGCGCATGTAGACGAGCAGAGAGGAGATGGAAGAAGGATACACTTCACGTCTCCTTGGGGATTCTAAGAGACAGTTTAAGCGAATATCAGAGGGCTGTTAAATGTGCAAAAACTCATTTTATTTCAAATGTTGTGTCCAAAAACAGAAATAGGCCCCAGTTCCTTTTTACCACTCTTAATTGTCTTTTAAATCCCTGTAACTCTCCCTGTGTTGTGCCATCACCTACTCTATGTGAAAAGTTCCTTTCATTTTTTAATGATAAAGTCTTGGCCATCAGATCTTCACCTCCTCCTCTCACCTTAGACCAGTGGTTCTCAAACTTTTTCTGTAACATGCACACCGATGCACACCCGTACCCGGACTGATTAAGAGGAAACACCTAAGGGCGGGATGTTGTTGACATGATAGGAAACATTAAAACATGTTATACGCTATTTTTTAATATTAAGACGTTTTTAACAGTGTAAGAAAACGTTGTAAAACAAGCAATACGTTAATGTAAGAGGTTAAGAGCTTGATTGTTTGTGAGAAAACGAGGAGAAAGCTAAATTACAAACCGATTTAAACAGTAAAAAACTAACAACATATCCCAAGGAGGAAAAAGAGAGAGAATAATACATTTAACAACACACTTATTTGACTATTTGCGGACATTTTAAGAAAAAAATAATAAAGAACAACAGATATTACTGCATTTTCCTTTCTGAAGTGTGTTGTATTAGAAACAAGAGGAATTATGCAACAAAGAAAGAGGTTTAGACATTAATAACACAATAATTAACTTGTTCTGGACATTTAAAGAGTTAAATGCTTTTATCATTACCATCCCTGAGACGGACATGAACAGGAACCTTCTATCGCGTCTCCAAATCTTTACGGACATTTTATCACGCTGGACCCAAACCGGAAGTGCGTCCCTACTTTGACCTGCACAGTGTCTTCAGTTTTCATCACTAAAATGTTGTTTTAGCCGCTAAAAGGAGACATGTTTACCCTAAAAGCACTAAAGAAAAACAGAACAATCAAATATGGAGTCCCCATGCTGGTGAGTAGATTTTATTTGACGTTTTAATGTATTTAAATCACATTTGATCAGTGTGTAAGCTAACTGTTAGCATTCTGTCAGTTAACTGTTATTTGTACTTACTTTGTTTTATAAGTCCAATTATCTCTTCATCTCTCTGTTTTTCTGAGGTTTAACACTAGCTAGTAATGTTTTTGTCTGGCGAAATAGGAAGGGTTTATTTCAAGCTTGTTATGTGTAAATTATTGGAATTTTTTTAATCAACTAAGATCAGTTAGAACACGTTTTCAACTTCAATTGACTGCATTTATTTACATGAATACTGCGTCGTATAGTCTTACATATGTTGTCAGTGATTCTGTCAGTCTTTTGTTAATAATGAAGTCAAATTCTGTCCTTTATCTTACTGTTTACCCGAGTTTAATGTGAGCTAGTAATGTTTTTCTTCCTCACCTCCCCATACCTAGTGTATAGTTTTAAACACAATATAATATTGTTTAATTTAAGTACTGAGTATGTGCTGAAGGGCAGAGGTGTAAAGTAACTAAGGACACTTACAAAATGAGTGTTCTCTTAGGTATTTCTACTTTACCAGAGTATTTTCATTTTATACTACATACAAATGTTGTACTCATCCCACTACATTTATTTTACAGATGTATTTACTTGTAACTTTATAACTTCAAATGTTGACACATAATATTTAACAAACCGTAATATTATTCTTGGTAAAGATTAAACTATCCAGCATTACATTTAAAGGGGACCTATCATGCAAAATGCACTTTGTGATGTCTTTTCTCCATCAACATGTGTCCCGGTGTGTCGGGGAACTCACGCAGCGTCAGAAAATAAAACCCTCTCTCTTTTCCTCCGTACCCAAATCTCTAAAAACGGGGAACAACGGAGCTGATCCAGATTTGCGTCCGATATGACGTAATATCTGAAATGTGGACCCACGGCCCAATCAGAAACGTTGCTATCAGAAACAATGCCCGACTGTTTTGGACGTAATATGGTCGGTGTTTACATTAGCATCGCTAACACTCAGAGCTAACCTGTACTGGAGAGCATGTGTGTGAAGAAGCAGGAAGTAAAAAGGAACTCACCTTGTGGTATAACCGGCAAGAGAGAAAGCCTTTGAGCTCCAGACTGTTTCAGAGAGAATCCTTGATAATCCATGATATGGCGTTTCATCACGGCAGCATTTAGTTTAGACAGTAGCTGCCGGGTCCCGCATGAGCTCAGACCCCTCCTCTTTTATTTTAAAGCTTTATCTCCAAATCAGCACTTTTGAAACGGGAAGTGAAATAGAGGGATATGAGGCATGGCTAGAATGGGTGATCTGTTTGGTATTTTGAGCAAAACACTTCATAGACATGTTTTTTATATATGTTTTATATATCTGAGACCTATAATAGCTTGATAGGTGCACTTGAAGTAACTAAACCATGACTGGGTTATTTTGATAAGACGTTTTTTATGAAGATTTGCTGCTTTTGCTTTAAAATATAGTACTTTAAGTAGAACCATACTTAAATACGTTTGACTTGAAACTGAGTATTTTGACAGTGTGGTTTTAATACTGTTACTCAATCCAAGAATGTGAATACTATTTCCACCTCTGCTAAAGGGTAATACATGTACACCCCTTGCAGAATGCATTACTATATTAAAGTTCTATCACATGTAGAAGTGATTTGAACCTGAATTATATGTGATGAAGCGAGCGCTGTGCATTGTCAAGTTTTTCGGATTACTTTTATTGACATTATATGCTCTCATTGTTTTTTTTCAGCTGCTCGTAGTCGGAGGTTCCTTTGGCCTGCGAGAGTTCACACAAATCAGATATGACTCCCAGAGGATCAGGAAAAAGGTTAGTAGTGAATTCACTCTGACATTAAACACACATTTCACCTCACCTTGAAGAAAAGGGTTCTCATGGTCAATGTGCCAGCGGATAAAGTACTCACCTTTGCACCAGGGCTTGACAATATATCAATAATATATTAATATCATGATTTGAGACAAGATATGATCCTATATTTGACCATTTACATGCACACAAACCTAGAGCACACACTACAGGAGAGGGGAAACCTCCCAAAAGCAGATTAGGGCCTCTTGAGCAGTGTTACCTAATTATTTAGATGTATACTGTTATTTTAATCACTTAAATCAGCATTCAGCCAGTGGGCAATGGCGCCTCCCTGTGGATAGAAACGTGCAGTGTTTATATGTACAAAAGTGGTGGGGCACGAACAACTTAGATGTGTATATAAGCTTCTGGTGCTTTTTTAAACACGTCCATGGTCCCGATAGAGAGAGAGAGAGGGGGGGGGGGGGTATAAGGAAAACACAGACACTCATCACCGAGGTCACAATATCAATCGATCCAGCAGAGCAATAGCCTATAGGCAAAGCCCAGAAGATATGACATCAAATGAACTTACCAAAGCTGAAGTTGAGTCAACTTCATTCACTTTCTTTCCGTTTCACTGATTTTAATCGCTATACGCTGCTCTCTCTCGTCTCCTCTTCACAACTACACTCACGTACTTGCAGCCAATCAGCTCTCTGAATTATGAGATGACGCTTGGTGGGTATTAGGGATGGGAATTTGAAAGAAAATGTATATTCGAATATTCGACCCCCAAAAAATGGTTAACCGAAATGAACATATCCTATAAAAAATAAAAAATAAATAAAATGTGGGAATTCTTTTTACAAAAAAATAATATTTAATTTTGAAAAATAAATACATGTTCAAATAATTATAGGAACCAAGTCGAATGTGTCAAATGTATTGAACTGGTGATCACAGTTTGAACAGTTGACAGCTATAGGCCTACAGCTTTCATGCTTAAAACATAACTTGGTTTTTAAATGAAAGAGGGATCACACACGAACAACATAACGGGTTAGGGTAACGTAACCCGTGACAACAGGGATCAACAACCTATAACGGGGTCTATGCCCAGAATGCAGCTATTCAATACTCATTCTTGTTTAAGAATATGAGCATGTCTAGTCAGGGGAGAGGCGATTCACAATCAGGCCAGCTGTAGAGAAGACCCTCTCAGCTGGAATGTGGGCATAAGATGAGGTTTGAGTCTGCGTGATCTGCGTGTAGGGAGGGGCAGCAGCCATATCGTTAGCTAGAACTAGCTACATCTGATGGATTTGGACATAAACGCGAGTGAAGTATAACCGGCCGCGAGAGAGAGAGAGAGATCAGCACCTGCAGCTCTGCCCGCTGTGAGGGACCGGTGAGCGGAGCAAAACACACCTTTAGACCTGACGCACTTAGCTATGGCACTGTCGTATACATTGGATTATTCCATTTGATAATATGTAATCAACTTAGGCACCCCTCCCAAAGAAAAAGACATTCGATTAATCGTTCCCATCCCTAGTAGGTATGTCAGCGCAGTGCCCCTATGGTGATTATTTTTTTACCGCACACATTGGCCGTTTCTCAATCTCGAGGATTCTGGCTTTCAAGCCAATATGTCAAGGATGCTACGTCATCGAGTGCGCCGAAGGACTGTTCCAATCTCCAGCATACTTGGAATTCCAACGAGGCCGCGTCCTTGGTTTGGGGGTAATTTCGAGGCTGCACATGGGTAGACTTCGCGTCCTTAAAATCCCCACAATGCTTTGCGCACGGACCAATTTCAAAAACCCTTGCGGAGAATGGCTGAACCGACGCAGCACACATTGAAATGTAAGTATGTAGTATCGTAGAACATGTGTTGGTAAATATGTTACTTTGTTACATTTGTTTGTTATCACCAAAAAAGTGTTCCGTGAAAGTAAAGCAAGTTCATAATTAGATAGACATCGTGAGGTATTTATTTTCAGTACAGTTTATGTTGAAACCGTTAGTGTGGTACACTTGTTAGCCTGTTCCATTCATCTTCGTTTTCCGAAGCCGTGGCTTGGAAGCATACTTGCTTCGTTTCTGAAGTAAGTGACTTGGAAGTACGCGACTACCAAGCCAGCATCCTCGCGATTGAGAAACGGCCAGTGACTAGAAAAATACTCTGAGCATGCGCAGTGTAGTTTTTACAGTGCATGTTCGTTTTGACAGCAGAGAGGGGCTTGCCCCACAACCCATCAACAGCTCAATCGGCACACTGGGGACACTAATTAGAACGCAGACTGAACCAGCAATGTACAGACGAATCAGACGACGAAACATGATCTTAAAATATATTTTAACATGTATTCTTTTTGCATATTTTGGGAATTATTATTTGCATTACTTTCTGCTGACACTAGGTGGGGCTGTCGCCACTGGAAATGTGGTTGTCTCTAAGGATCCAGATTTGAAAAATAGCACACACGACTCAAGTAGATTGCAAATGTAGTACAGTATCAAAGTACCAATAGATGACCAAGTACAGTAATTGATCAAATGCACCTGCACCACGGCCTGCTTTCGACAGGCTAGTACGTATTAATTAAGACAAAAACAAATTTAAAAAAGTGACCCTTATTCCTTTTTGGATTTCTACACAAACGAGGCCTCTTTCTGGAAGAGATGATGAATTTATGAGGATTATTGTCAGAAAATGAATTAGTAATCCTTTCTGCTTTTCTTCTGGCTGCATGGCAAAATAGCCTCTTGCTGAACACACACACACGCACACACACACACACACACGTGCTTATTTATGATCAGCATTAGATAAATGGTCTCTCCAGCACTTCAGACACTGCAGCTCTGACAGGATGTTTAGTGATTCAACAAGATCTGATAATTCATTAGGAGCCGCAGTTCATCAGAGTGACAGAGGAGAGGCTCTTTATTACCCTGTGATGATCTGAGGGGGGGGGGTGTCTGTTTCCTGCTTTTCTATTTGCTGGCATGCTAATGGGTCAGTATACTCTTAATGTAAAGGTCAACTTGTGTTACTCACCCTCCTGATTTCCAATTCAAAATGTGTTTCAAAGCATAGTTGACCTTAGCTAGTGTTGTTTCTGTTCCTCATCTCTTACCATACGTAGCTTAGAGTATTAGAAGTACACATGATCCATGAGAGTATGTGCTAAAGCAGGGGTCTCAAACTCAAATACACAGTGGGCCAAAATAAAAATAAATGGGTACTAGTGGAGGTCCGGACTGGTTCAATGTTTATTGCAGAACTTATTGAAATGAACTTATTGCACATATTAAACCTGGAACTAACAAAGCTTAAATTATTGCCTATAAAAACAACATTAAACATTAAATAATCAGTTGCATTCATTTCTTATGGCTCTATCTGCAGCTTTTCCAGAGTCATTTATTATGAGTACATTTTCCCACAGGCCAACAACAGCTTCAACAAAACTATTCCCCTCAAAGAACAAACCAAACATGCCCTGTTGTCATGAGAGAGAAAGTGCAGAAGGAAACATCCATTGAACTCAGTGTGCTGCTCTGTGATGCTAGCTCAGATACTTGGCATCTCATCTTGGGAGCTAGTTCATCAATGTTTGGGCTCAGGCTCTGAGCGGAGGAGACACTCAGGATGGAGTGAAGGTGTGCGTGCAATATACCGGCGGGCCAGATCTAATAGTCATTAGAAATGATCCTGCGGGCCGAAATTAAATCCACCAAGGCCCTGATTTGGCCCCCGGGCCTTGAGTTTGACACATGTGTGCTAAAGGGTGAAATGCAGATTATCTAAGGTGCTAAATCCATACCATCTCAACATAACCTCCAGGTTCATGCAGTGGATGTTCTTGGGGGAAAAAACCCACTTATTAAATGCACGGCCTTGAAATGAAATGCTATACCAAGCCTAAAACTAAGCCGCAATCAAACCCTACAGTCTAGCTGCCAGAATAGTAACCCTGGGACTGTTTGGGGGTTATTGAAGATGCCGAGTCCATTTCCGAACTTTTTCAGGATAATAAATGGCCGTTTTAACCTGAAACTGGCGATATCTGGTTATAACTGTCATTTTCTATGACTGTCCATGTGCAGCCACCCCCCCCGAGTTAACATTGCTCAAGTAATTTAATGCATGGAATATCTAAACAGTCGTCATGATTGAAACCACTCGTGCGGTTTCATTCTTGTTATCAGCCCATTCCTTTTTTCCAGCCCTCACGGATGTATTTCCCTGTTAAATGATGAAAGCCCTGTCTGAGGGTTAAGTCACTGTATGATCCAATTAACTGTCTCTCTTCAGATCTGTAAGTTAGCCTCCAGCAGGAAGAGCTTCTGTCTTCCACGGCCAGGTTTCCTCTTCACCTCTGACCCCCCCCGTCTCTGTTTGAGGTTCATTAAAGAAAAGCTTATAACGCGTCCTTAGGAATCATTTTAGCCCCTTTTCCCTGGAATGAAAGCTGCATTAAAAAAAGATAATAATTCAAGATATATATTAAAAAAATAACAAATATAATACTAATAATAATATACATTTTAATTAAAACACTTACACATCTTTTAAATATAATGATTTGAACACATTTATATAGATATTTTCGAAGTACTCGGACAATTTACAAAAAAAAATCCAGATACAGAAGGATGCAAACATATAATAATAATATTAACTGTTGGGGAATAATTTTCCCTGCATGTCCTCCTTCGCCCTCTGACGCAGCTGACCAGCCTTGAGCAGCCGTTATCTCCCATAAGGAGGGGCTGCCCTAGCAAGTTGTTGATGTTACCAGTTTGTGACCGGGCCTCTCTCCGTCAGAGATAGTTATTGTTGTGGGACACCTGGAACACATCCTTCTCGGGGTGGAGATGACCTCGAGCCATAAGCGACAACAAAAGTGATTCAGTGTCCTCAGCTGTTTAGTCTCTCTATTGAAGAATGTTGATTATTACACTCTGAACTAGTTCAAACCTGGAGCTACAGGAGGGCTCTTCAG